CTCCCCCTCCCCCGTCCCCTTCCCCTTCCCCCCCCCCCCAGCGGCTCCCCAAGCCCCTGGGGCTTCTTGAAAGGGGTTCGCTGCTCCCCGGTCCCCACTTCTCTGTGCCCGCCCCCCGAGACTGGGCGTCTTCAGGCAAGCTCTCCCTGGAGGCCAGAGGCCACCGAAGTAGGCCTCAAGGCTTCGGCCTCTAAAAGCTGTCACTTGGCATCCTCTTTGTAAGCGTGAACGTATCCCCTTTTCCTTGTTTTGTAACAGCTCGTTTTTTCCTCGTCGTGGTGCTTTTTGTAAGCACCCAGCGTTTTTTTGTTGGTGTTTCTGAAACACCTGGAGAGGGAAAAACATCATGTTTTTAACAGGCGGGGCCGGAGGAGGAGTTCTGGGCAATCAGACTTTTTTCAGGTCGCCGTTAGGTGGCTAGAAGTAGAGCCACCCAGAATTACCAGCTATTCCAAAATTAGAAGGCCGTATCCGGGACTGCCCGGCGTAACTGTAGCGGTCCTTTCCAAAAACAATGGGCAAAATTTTCAGACTGCTTACCTTGTGCTTCGTAAATTATTATGATCTTACAACAAGTTTATATCGTGCTTACGTTTCACCGTGGTCTGTGTTTGCATACAGAGTTGCTAGTACTAGGTAATGATGCGGATTATACTTACTACGTAGTCCGAGCTTGACCTCTGGCTCTCTGTTGAGATGCTACAATCCCTTTCTCTGGTGGGTTTTTGCAACGATGAAAGGTCCCCTCCTGACTTCTGTATCTGCTTTTCTTCACGGTGGGGTCAAAAACCTTGTAAGAAACATTTCAGGTTGCATGGGATGAAGTGAGAGTATTGTTTTTTCCAGCACTTTGAAGCTGCAGAGGACTACATTTACTTGTAAGTATCACTGCAGTATTATGGTTAGGTAACCGGCAGTCTTGGTTTTGGAAGCTTATAAGCATGTTTGAAGGTGAAAAATTATCTGTATTATGAAATCAGTTGTGATGTGTTTTCCACATCTCTTTTTCACACGAATTCTGTTTGCTCTGTAAGAACAATGACTCTGGCTTAGTTGACTGACTTCACTACAGTTGACATCTACAAGTTAAACATTTGCTAGGAGCACCATCTGTGCCAGCATATCTGATCACGTTCATGCTTTTTCTGTCTGTTTGGTTGCGCAAGTGTAAGTTTTTATTTACAGAGGGTCACAAAACCAAAATTGTTGCTGTTAATGAACTTTCAGCATAAGTAAGACCTAGTGAGAAAGGAAGGCATTCCGGAAGATGAAGGAAGTATGTTATTTTAGTAAATGCTTTATGTTTTTTGTTCTTTCAATATGTCTTGGAAGCAAGATCAAAGAGCACCAGAATCAAGCTGAAGGGTGTGTGTGAAGAGGAAATTGCAAGTGGAAATACCCCATTGCTTGATTTGAGGAGGCAGCCATGAAGTAGTGGAACGAACAGTGATTCGGCAAAGTGTTCTAGGTGGGTTGGACAGATGAAAGAATGTGAAGGAGAACCAAGATGTGAAATGAAAGTGTAGCAGATATATTAAAACCTTGGCTGTGAGGAGAGAAGCCAGTGGAGGGTGTAAGAGATGAAGATGTTTGCTCTGAATTAGCTACTGTAGAACTTGTAGGAATCTGCTACAGAGGTTTTAATTCACTAATTAACCCAGGTGAAGTTCTGTTTTAATTTTATTGAAAGTGAGTCACTGGTGGCAGAAATGGCCTCCAAAGGATTGAGATGAGTACTGAGGTAGCAGCAGTAAGTAGTACGTTGAAGGAGGGAGAGGGACTGAGAGGCAACTTGGAGAACTTTGACAAGTTTAGTCGAGGCAAAGAGTTTATGAGTTCTGATTAGAACAGAAGAGTCCTGCAATTCCCGGTTCTTTGGGAACTGTGTTAGGCTAAGTTGGGCAGTTAAAACACTTGGAAAATTAAATATAATTAACAATAGTTATACAGTGCCATTTTTGGCATTTGCTGTCTTGTGAAAATGGAAGTCCTGTTGAACATGTGAGCGTCCTTAGCAATTTGCAGTTATTACCATGTACTGCTGCTTTGGAGAGTGGAGAGTCTGTGACCACCTCTCTAGTGCTAAGCAACCTGTTGTCTGAATATGGCTAGAGCTTGTCTGCTGTAATGTGGTTAGGATGTGCCAATCTTTTGCAAAACCATGAAACATGGATATCTGTTATCACCTGTTATCACCTAGACAGAAGAGAAACCTGTGTTACCTTTAATTCCAAAGAATGCCATGCCTGTGGTGGTTTCAGATCCAAGCTGAAAACAAAAGAACAAAATAAAAAACCCAAAACCTTACGCAATCCCACGACCAATAACGGGGGGGAAAAAAAGCCATGGTCTAGTATACAAACTTTTTGGTCCTAACATTTGGGTACAGTTGTGCCTATTTTTTTTCTTCCGTAATAGTGAATGACCTGAGGTTTGTGGAGGGAGGCAGCATGTTTCCAGCTCTTTTGGTCTAATAATAGGACCTTACAGCTTGCAGCTTGCATACTCTAAACCTCTCTGGGCCCAAAAGCTCATCTGTCTTTCCAAAGTATCTTAGTAGCGTTCCCGATCAACCTTGCCTTGCGCATACTCTTAGATCATTCTGCCTGGAGCAATGCTGCAGCGTAAATCAGTAACAGGTCCAAGCATCAAGTACACATTAAGCTACCTAGATGTAATTTATTCCTCCTCCCAGCCTACTTTTGCGGGGTACATAGCTCAAGGTGCACTAGAATAATAAAAGAGGTATGACTTGCTGACCTTGAAGAAGGGAGGTAGGGAAAAGAATTGACACTTTGTACCCAGGCAGACTGTCACCTTCTTTCCAGTTTGTGATGTGCTGGAAGACTCAAACAGCAGAGTCTGACTCTTTTCCACGTTGTGAGGATTATTTGAAGTCTGACCAAAGTGCATAGTGCCTATTTCTAAACGGTCTCCAAACTTTTCAAAGCCTGACTATAGATGTGAACACCTAGTAAGGGGAAATTGTGCCTTTATTACTTTTTTTTTTTTTTTCCAGCACCAAATCTACTGTTTGCATTACTTGAGGGCATCTATTGCTTTTCAGTTGCCTTATCTGAAGAACGGCTTCTGTACTATTGCACGTTCCAATACTGCATCAAGTGATGGGACTGGCATTCTTCACTGCTTTCTGCTGAAAGTGGTTGTATCTTGTGTTGGTATGTCAGTCCATCCCATTTTCTCTTCTGTTTAGTTTACTGTAACTAGATCTGAGTTGGCTGCAAGTAAAGGTTTCTGCAGATCCACAATAAAACCAACCTAGCTGCTATTCTGGGTGACTTACATAATTGGGTAATTGTTTTATAAACAAAGGCCACAGAGATTTTGTGCCTAGGATGCAACCCAGGCAAATTAATTTCTTCCCGGCGGTACCCGTGATTTAGGTGAACTACAGCATGCTACTGCCTGTCATGTAGGAGCATGGTGTGATATCCAGAACTGTGATGTGCGGATGGCATTTTAGTGAGCCAGTGGGCTAAATGACTGGTATTAAAGATTACTCAGTTCCATGGGGAAATACCAGTGTCTGCATGCTCCCATAAATAGTTTACAACATCTATAAACATCCTCTTGTAACTCTAGTAATCATAAAAATACATATCTGGCAAGAGTGTCCTACTGCATACTGCTCTCTTAAATACCAAAGGCGTTTCTCTTCGTAGTGAAGTCATAAGTTAATAACTAGCCACTACACTGAGAAAATAACTTTCTTGACAGAAAATCTGAGGGCTGATATCTTGATGAACTTGTATCCTTTACATTTCTTCTTTTGAAGACTCTTTTACGTAATGGCCTCTCCTGATTTTAGTTTTTGGAACCTAATATTTCAAATACTTACTAGTAAAATTATTCAGAGGGTGTGGGCATAGAGGTGTGCTGAATGCCCTGTTGCCATCTGTGGAACTACAAACCGATATAATTAATCTGATACATATTTGCATGATGAGATCCTAACTGGTGATCTATTTTTGAATTTCAGCAAGCATACTGTCTGTCTTGTTTACAACTTTACTGTTCTGCGCCATCCTGACCAAAACAAATTTTTTGCAGGCTTGTGGGCTTTTTTTCACTTGCTGGAGGTCAGAGATAGTGTAATGCGACTTCTCTTACTTTCGCAGAAGTTGGAATCCTTGCCAAGTCCTACATTGATCAAGGGCGGCTTATTCCAGATGACATCATGACACGACTAATGCTGAATGAGCTAAAAGGTCTAGATCAGTACAACTGGCTATTGGACGGTAAGTTAGCATACTGGATGTCACTATATATGGAGAGAAAATCTGCACTGGAAAGCTTGGACTGCTTTGGTCGCTTGTGGAGAGCTACACTCCAGTAGCCATCCTCGGGTCATAGTAACCGGACGGTGTTTGTTGCCAGCTTGTTGTGAAACCTTCAGCAACTAGTCTGCCCTAGTTTCTTTGGCTATGAAATGCTTTGGGTGCATCCCGCCTTCAGAGCGTTACAGGGCTGTTTAAGGGTAGTTCAATACTCCAGTAAAATTTCAAAACTGGCAATTCTGGTAATTCTTATGTTTTATTTCCCCTTTAAAATACGCATTGAGAAGTTTTTTTTTTTTTTTAAGCCTTTTGTTGTTAAAGTCCTTGGGGAATGGAACACTTTTGAAGAATGGGGCTGAGGAATTATTTAAATAGAGAGGCAGGTATGTGATGCAGCAACAAGTTAAGTATGGAAAGCAAGTACTGCAGCAGTACAGTGTGTAATAAATCACTAACAAAAACACTGCTTAAGTGCTCTAAAAGGTCTCTTTCATTTGCTCTTTGATTCTGTTCTCAGAATGAATTGTTTTGCAATTCTGCAGTGTAAGCTCGTTGCTTCAGCATTCACGGTAGAGAGAAAACGCATTTACTGCTGTCTTCATGAACTGAATGCCTCTTGTTACCCCAGCCCATGGGAGTACAGTTGGATGCACAGTGCAAAGATAGTGTCTAGGCTGGATGTGTGTGCGTTCAGATTCTAGTCACAGCCTGTCTCAGTAGATAAAACTAAAAAGTTGTTGGTGTGGCTTTTTATTTAGAGGGAGTGAAAGATCCACAGTGCTCTCTATTCCCTTAGTGCTTTATTATAATTGCTTCTAGTACAGTGATCTGTTCTGGTGGCTTTAGTCACAGTCACGTTCCTGCTTAGTGAAGACGAAGGCTTAATTCCCACAGATGAACAGCACAATGAAACCTAATCAATGAAGGAAAGAGCTCCAGATGTTTTGTTTTGTTTTTTTTTCCTTTAGTTCCAGGTCCTGTGTACACATAGTTCCAGCCTTGTGGATCTGGATGTGTAGCAGTATAGCAGGCCACACTGGCAACTCTTTAACAGGAGGATGGTGTGGAGACTGTAAGAGAATACATCAGTTTCTGCTGCATATTAATGTGCTGCCTTCTTTATACTTTTGGAGCAGAACTTTTGCCTGCATCAGCATTTGCAGTGAGACTCGGTGAATTACACTAGGGATAGCTCTGACGTAATCGGCTGTGTAGAAACAATACTATTCTGTTGAAATATGTTAACCAGAAAGTCTTTAGTTTGATTACTGCAACTCAGAACAAACAGCTGAGGTCAGCTAGGTCAAATGAAATAGAGTTGCTGAGCTGCTTGTTTGCTCACTTAGGCAAATACTCATTTCCACTGCTTTACAATAGGTTGGTGGCTTCTAGAGTCATAGCAGATGTAGCAGTCTGAGTTGGGGGGGGTATGATCTGCTTAGATTTATGTGCTGCATAATTAGGGCACTTTTCTCTGTGTTCCTGGATTCTTCATAATTCATCACATCTTGTAGATTATTTTTTCGGTATCAAGAAAACCCTGTATGCAGCAAACGCTAGTTCAGTTTCAATGAATGCTTTTGTAAAGGCACTTTAATTTGTTGAGGAAGTTTCTCATTACTAAGTCCCAAAGCAAACTCATTTTCCAGCTGCATAACTAAGATGTGTGGTGGCTGACTAGCTTGTCAATAGTAATTAAGAACAGCAGTGCTGGAGTCCTGGCTCTCCCTCTGCTCTTAAGGTCTAGAAGCACTTCTATGAGATAATGTGAACATGAGAGAAATAGGATGAGGGCAGTGGATGACTGTGATGCAAACCAGGTGCATCAGACTTAATGCACAAGCAAAAGCTTGGTCTGAGTTAATCAGCTCTTTCCTTTTGTGATGTGTTAGACAAAACACAGTAGCCCTAAGACCATAAAATATTTTTTTTTTTTCTGTTGTAAGGGTAGTTCTTGGCTGCTTCCTTACTCAGGCAATGGACTTGTCAACCAATGTTATACAAAGAAGAGTTTCTTAAGTTTGTACGTATCAGTATTTGCCTTTATGGAGAAGTTTACTTGTATAGTATGATGAAAATTACAAGCTACTGAAGAACATGAGACTGTGTGAGAGCTTTGTGGGTAGAGGTATTGTTCCAGTGAATCTGTGGTGCAATAGCGTGTTCTGCAGTAGCTTTGACCACTGAAGTTCTTGTGGTCAATTTTTAATTTTAAATTCTTTGTGGAGACCTTGGTTTTCTTGTTCTCCGTTTCCTCTCTCTCCTTCTTAACTTCCACTTGATTTCCCTAGTAGTAACATGTGCCTTTGAAGGCATGCTACTGGAGCCATGGAGTTCAGGGGGCAAAATGCAGTGTCTTTTAAGTGAAGACAGAGATTCCTGCTCAGCCTGACTGTTCTCACAGTCATCATCCCCAAGGACAGTCTGATACATCAGACTTTCCACAACTCTTTCTAAAGCTACTCTTTTATGTAAAATTAATCCTGAACTGCCTCCAGTAGATACGTGGGGCTTACTGCAGCTGAATAAAATGATCACCTCCTTAAGCCTTACACAGCTGTGGAAATGAGAGTTGTCACAAATGTTTCTAGGTTGTTCCAGACCTCTGAGTGAAATGCCTGTAGCTTTTATTGTTTGAAATGTGTAAACAATGCTTTTATTCAATATAGTGGTATGTAGTACATAGGAGTATGGGGTCTTTTTGCACTTATTTGTTACACTTTTGGGAAGATGATTAACTGAAATGAGGAGATGGAAGCTGGGAGGCGTTCAACAAGGGCCATAAGATAGCGAAAAATACTTGGAAAATCTGATGCCTCTTCAACCTTTACAGTATGACAATGCTTTTTTTTCTGCCTGACAATTATTTTCTCTAATGACTGAATCCAGGTAATTCTTGCTGTAACTCTGCCTTTGGATTTTTATGGAGTTGTTTCCTTTAAAAAGGTTTCCCCAGAACAGTTGCTCAGGCAGAAGCCCTGGATAAAGAATGTCAAGTAGACACTGTGATTGACCTAGACGTGCCATTTGAGACCATAAAATGTCGGCTCACAGCACGTTGGATCCACCCTGCTAGTGGCAGAGTCTACAATCTTGAATTCAGTCCTCCCAAAGTGCAGGTAAGCAGTACACATCAGTGTTGGCGCTAAACAAATGTTGCATTGCATTTGGTAATTGCAGTAAAATGTTGTTTGCTTACGCTGTTGCAGAACACAGTAGTGCAGAAGAAAAAGGGTTATTTCATCTCCTAGGAGCCCCAAACCTTTCTGGTAACACCCTGCCTCTGGGGGTATGTTAGTGACCTGGTAGAAGCTCAAGCTGATGGAAAATGCGTTTGTCCCCTGCAGAATGAAACACCATGGTGTTTTCTAAGCTCTTGTTAAAGCTGTTCACTGATCTGGAATACTCTGTCTTGTACACTGGCATAGAAGTTGGGCATGTTCTTAGCCTGTTCTGCAAGTTTGCAGCATGTACAGTCCAAAATGTAGTTTCTTTTCCTTCCTCCAGAGGACTCATTCTTTGTATCTAGGAAGCATACTGAATCATCAGTCAGAGGAATCCACTTAATGCTTTCCCTGTGTTTGTATTTAACCAAGAAGGGTATTTTCAAGGGAACAGCTGTTGTATTGCAAAATTAGATGTAGTAACTTGCCAGTCAGGGAAGCTTCTCAACAAATCAAAGAGGTTATGACTTGAGATATCCTAAAGAGGAATAGTAAACTTGAAGATAATGATCGTACATTGTTACCTTGAGATTTTTGAGGAGCTCGGATTAGCCTTAGTGCAACTCTGCTTAAGCTATATTTCATCCTTAACTCTAAATAACTCACCTGTTGTGGCGTCACATTTCACCTGGAAGCTCTATTAAGTTACATCAGAAGCATAGCAGGCCTTGTAGTTTTTGGATTGCAGTACTGCAGGAAAAGAGGCCAGCTGAAATAGCAGGCAAGCACTGGAAATTAGCAACTGGAGACACGACCTTTGTATTGTTTAAAACGTGGTGTTTTAAGTCATGGTTATTTTTAATCGCAGGAGAGCATAGGCGAGCTGCAACAGAGGATTATCAGACCTCCTAAAGAGTGGGCTTCAGCTGCAACAGCTTTGCTATTAGGAACTCTCCACTCTGTCTTCCACTAATTAGCAGAAATATCACAACATAGTAAAGCAGATTGCAGTATTTAAGTGAAACCATGTAATGGAGCTGAACAGCTGAAATACAGTTGTCTCTGTTATCAAATAGATCTGCAAAATGTTTATTTACTCAACAGAACCAAAAGATTACAGCTTTAGAGTTAATGCAAGGCTGAAGGCTCAATATTTGATAGGTACAATGAAGGCACTAGTATGGCTTCCTGCACAGATGCTAGAAACACCTGAGTGTTTTAAATGATTGTATTATATAAACAAGGTAAGTTTGACCATATAAATCCATCTCTAATATGATACAGTTGGTCTGGAACAGATTTTCTTCACACCTTCATGAACAGAGAAGCTTACTGAACATTGACGGTTATTCATTTTCTGAAACTGACTGCCAGAATGCAGTCAGGAAAGGAACACGTTTCTGTGGTCTAATTGGCTTTGTACTTGAAAGATCACTCATGTTTCCACTCCAAATGTCAGATTAAACTTGTCTTTAGGGAAAATAAAAATTCTTGAGGATTCAATTAATATGTACGAAGGAGCAAACAGCCCCTTATGTCTGTGGTGGGTCATATTCTGTCCTTAGATGCACAATGATTCAAGGCACCTAAGAAGGAACGAACTTTTAGGCCACTAGCTAGTCCTTCATAAGATATGCCAGTGGTCAATAATTTATTCAGTCATTGCTGGTTTCAAGGCTTAAAAGCTCCGTAATCACTTAAAGCACTTCAGTAAATTGGAGGTGAAATGTGCAGTAAAGCAGGAGCTGTCATAGTTCACACATTAGGTCCCTACCTCTGTTTACTGAATCCTAGAAAAACTTCAGCTGGCTTTCATGCCATTTTTTGTACAGCTGTTGCTAAATGATAACTCTTCCGTTTTGCAACTTAAAAGCAAAGGGCCATTAACTCCTTTCCCCACTTCAGTATTGTCAAACAAAGGTCCAAGTGGTCTCTTGCTTGTTTCCTGTTATGCAGGAACATATTACCAACAATATTGTTTTCCCTCATATATGAATGTTTTGTTGACATATTTCCCATATTCAATGAGTGTTCCAGAGGACAAATTAGTCGGGTTACTATGACCTGATGTTCATTGCCAATACTGAGAAAATACTTTTAACTGGTGGACTGTTTTACTGGAAAGTCAACATCTTACCTTCCAGATAAGATATGGGCAGTAGACTTTCTCTTTATAAGCAGAAATCTACAGCTTGATGATCATAATTTAAATAGAAAATTACGCAAAAGAAACAGAAATAAGAAATATACACCAGTGTTTGCTTTTAACCGTCATTAGGGCATTGATGATATTACTGGAGAGCCACTTGTTCAGCGTGACGATGATAAGCCAGAGACAGTTACCAAGAGGCTGCAGGCTTATGATGCACAAACAAAACCTGTTCTAGAATATTACCGGTAAGTAGTAAAATCTATTCTTCCACATTCTAAAAGCTTCTTCCACATTAGCATAGCAAGGAACAGATCTCTGCACTTACAGAGATACTGCAACAGTGAATGTGGTATGAATAGCAGTGTATCTTTCATCAACTCTTATTGAGTTGAAATCAACCCAGTAAAGTGAGTATGTTTTCCACTGTTCCATGAAACCTCTTCAGGAGCCTACTTAGCAAAAGAGCCTTTCACTGCAGCCATATTTAGCTTTACAAAGAGTGCTATGCATAATTCAGTACATTACTGTACGGTTCTGAGCAACATGGATCTGGTTAGTAAGGTAACAGAGACAGTTCCTTTTTTGGAAGATTTAACAATGTTTTCTGTTCTGGATGTATAAGTAGAAGCCCTCCTAACAAGGGCAAGGGGTCAAGAAGTAATACACAAATAGAAAAACTGTTAATGAGAATTTAAAAGTGGCTGTTCTAAGAACAGGACTGTGATGGGCGCAGCTAGGAATAGTCTTTGGGAATAAGTAGCTATTTGGGAATACTGCCAGTTGCACTGTGGAATGATAATAAATTATTTTACGAGTTCTTTTACGAGCCAAAATTATACACAGTTTCTCTTAATCTAAAGCTGCAAATATCACATTGCTAATATGTAGATAATAGTAGGTCACCATGTCAAGCTTTGTAGTCTTATCTTGCCTAGGCAAAGAAATCAGACTGACAACATCCTGAGTCATAGAATCATTAAGGTTGGACAGGACCTTTAAGGTCATCAAGTCCAACTGTTAACGTAACTGCCAGGTCCACCTCTAAACCATGTCCCTAAGCACCACATCCACACATTTTTTGAACGCTTCCAGGGACTGTGATTGCACCACTTCCCTGGGCAGTCTGTTCCAATGCCTAACCACTCTCTCTGTGAAGACATTTTTCCTAATATGTAATCTAAATCTCCCCTGGCACAGCTTGAGGCCATTTCCTCTCGTCCTGTTACTTGCTACCTGGGAGAGGAGACCAACCCCCACTTCACTACAACCTCCTTTCAGGTAGATGTCCTTCTTGTAGTGAGGGGCCCAAAAGTGAACACAGGACTCGAGGTGCAGCCTCACCAGTGCCAAGTACAGGGGCACTATCACCTCCCTGGTCCTGCTGGCCACACTATTCTTGATACAGGCCAGGATGCCATTGGCCCTCTTGGCCACCTGGGCACACTGCTGGCTCATGTTCAGCTGGCTGCCAGCCAACACCCCCAGGTCCTTTCCTGCCAGACAGCTCTCCAGCCACTCCTCCCCCAGCCTGTAGCGTTGCCTGGGGTTGTTGAGACCCAAGTGCAGGACCTGGCACTGAGCCTTGTTGAACCTTATACAATTGGCCTTGGCCCATGGATCCAGCCTGTCCAGATCCCTCTGTGAGGCCTTCCTGCCCTCCAGCAGATCAAAACAACTTGGTGTCATCTGCAGACTTACTGAGGGTGCACTCAATCCCGTCATCCAGATCATCAATAAAGATACTGACCAGAACTGGCCCCAGTACTGAGCCCTGGGGAACACCAGTGAAGTGATTGTCTGTCTACCTCCATATCCACCACCCTTCATTATGCTTTACCAAAACTGCTGAGCAGAAGACTAGAAGCTCCATCTTTAGGGTGGTTAAGTTTTAAAGAAGGAGTTTTTCTGGATTGACAATGATTTTCCTGACTTTGGTAGCTTTCTGAAGTGAAAATGTCTCAAAGCATCACAGTAAGACATAGGCCTAAGGTATTATTACTACCGATAACGACATACTTTACAGATAAAACTAGCTACTAGAACTAATTCAGAGTAACTTCATTGTGCCTGGTTCACTTGCTTGTTCTGATGCACCTTCTTTGATCCTTGAGGTGTTAACTTTACAATACCTGGGTTAGTCACAGTTGTTTGGGTGACTGCTTTATTGCATGTGCTATATGACTGCATTGCTGCTTGTTATTTTTACCTTTCATAGTTTGTTATTAAGTACTCTGTGGACAGCTGTCAGTTTTATGAACTGATGCAGCCAATAGCTCACTGAGGAACAGAGTAACACAGTCCAGCCTGCATTCCCAATGTGATGGCTGTTCTTTGTGTTAAATCACATGCATATTTGCATACTCCTGCCAGGGCAATCTTAAAGTGAGGTGGAGATCCTGGAACAATTATACAATTTAACTTCTGTAATGCTTTCTTCTTTTTATTCCTTAGGCAAAAAGGGCTATTGAAATCCTTCTCTGGAACAGAAACCAATAAGATCTGGCCACATATCTATGCTTTCCTCCAAACCAAGTTGCCAGATGTGAGCCAGAAAGATGCTGCCACTCCCAGGTGAAAATAGGTCTAACTTCTGCTCATCTGTCACAGCTCACACTTCATTACATGAAATTCAGCAATCAAGGATTTCTTTAAGTAGTCTACCAGACTGATCAATAATTAAAGTCTAATGTTGTCCTTAACTTACATTATGATAAAACTTTGTTGCCTGTGGTTCTTACTTTAATGATGTATTTTTTTTATTAAATATACATAATTTTTATAATATAGTAACTGACTTTAACAAAAGCAGATGCTCTTGTGTCTCTTATTCAGAAAATATTTATGTTTGCAAATATTGACTGGTGAAGGAAACACATTTCAGAATACAGCTTAATTACAAAGCACATTGATTGATTTACTCACTTATGAAATGTAGTGCAAAGCAATGATAATGATACGAAATCACGTTTCTTGAATGAGTGATTAGTTGGGGCCAGCTAGAAGCTGTGCGGAACCATGACCACCATTCTGCAATTAGCCATTTCAGACCAGAACTGGCATACATACAGGTTGATCTCATGGAAGACAGTCACCTTCTTTTAACTTTGCTTGCACAGATGTTAGGTGATTTTGCTGGGCCTAAATTGCCCTTAACAATTGCTTGGATGATTGGCCTTATTACTATGTTTGTATTTCTGCCCTCAGAGCAGCTACCTTGCAGGCATGAGAAATGGAGTTTTAATGGTATGTAACACATTTGGTAAAGCCTCTGTCTTTGTGCAGCTGTATAAGACTTTATTAGTAAAATGACAGCAGATACTGAACAGATTAACTGTAATCTGGTAAGCCTGTAGCTAGATGATCTTTACTAGTGAATGTGCTTTTTCCACTATCTTTCAAAAAACAACTGCTCATTGATGCCAGTGCCAGGATTTCCAGTGGTCAAATTATTAACTTTGTCATATTACTGTAGCAAGTTTTATGGTAGCAGTTGGGTTGGTTTTCATGAGTTCATACTACTAATTCATGTCTCTGACCAGCTCTTGTATTTATTTATTCACTGGATAACTGGAGTTACAAACCTCCACAGGCCACACTTTTTAACAGTCCAGGTAATGCAGACATTGCTGTTTTTCAGTGAACTCTCCTAGCCTTTTTTTTTTTTTTATGCTCACCAGATTGAGAGTTTCAAGAAGAGTCAGCAAAACCTGAGGAACAAACAACTCTGTCTAGGCAACGTCTGAAGCAGCTGTGTCCTACTAATGCAGGTCCCCATCTCCTTTTGCAGGGACTGTTTGTAAACAACTACAGAGGTGTGGTGCTGACGTACCCTGGACTACATTTGCACATCTAGTTTTAGCATTATCAATATTGAGACATGCTTGGTCTAAAAAAGGTGGTAATTGTAGAATTTGTAAGGCTTTCCCCTTACTATAAATGAACACTATGGGCAGCAGCTATCACTGCAAGCAGCTTTCCTTACATTTTAAAGCAAGCTTGCCAAAGGCTGACCAGTATGGAGGCTGTAGACTGAGTGAGTTTAGAGATGCACTTCCTTAAAAAAAGTCATGGTTAGAAAACAGTAGCTACCACATTACAATGAGAAACCCTGATGTGCTGCTTACTTCTATTTATGCATTTTGATTTCAATAAAAAGCAGCTATGCTTGTTTTTTTGCCAGCCTACATAAGTTTGTTAGCCAGAAGGAGAAGGGGGAGGGAATCTCCTTATGATTTGACACTTATTCCCACACCATCCAATCCTAGCCCCTCAGAAACTTCAAAAATAACTTTCAGTGTATCCCAGGCTGCTAGATCAATGTGGCTCTACTGCTAATGGTAGCAATTGCAAGTCACTGTGCTACACTGCCCTTACTACCCTTGTGGATAACATTCAGTTACAAAAAACAACCTGAAGTTATTAGTTTCCCTTAATAATTAATTAATTATTAAGGGGGAGGCAGTGTTTACTTATCCTCTCTGGAGTATCTGTCAAACTTAAGAAAAAAAAAACAACAAAACAAAACAAAAAAAAGCACAAAAAAACCCAAAACACCCCCAGAAATTTGCTTTACTACAGAAGCTGGTTATCTCTAATTTGCATCTGGCACAGAGCTGCTGCTTGCTCCTTTATCCTCAGTCTGTCTGTAAAAGAACTGTTTAAAGAACACAAGGCACACAAAAAGCTACTTCTGTCAGTGGACCTGGAGTTCCTACTTTTGCTACTGCATTTGTACTAATACTCACTCTGGTATGTACCGCAGACTTAGACTTTTCCCTATCTCTGCTACAGCCAAAGCTGAAAATTACTGGATCTCAGCACAGCTTTTGCCTGAGTTAGCAACTGCAGGTAGACTGTGTTCATCGAACTACTGAAATCTAGATACCTTCCAGATGTTACATACTATCACAACAATACAGTAAAGGACCAAGAGTGTGTACCAATACCATTATTTGAGATACGAGCTGTCTTCTCTGGAGTCTTCCAACTGCAATATACATTTTTATATAGATAGAACTGCTGTAATAGCAGCAAATTAGAAAAGCACAGTAGAATTTCGGATTGCAGAGGTTCTGTGGAAGGCCTTGTCCAGAAATAGTATTTGGATTTCCAGCTCCTCAAACAGGAAGCTTTTAATGATTTTCCACTTCAGTTGTTTGAGTTGGCAATGTCAGAAACCCACTCTAGTTTAGTAGCATATGAAATACCTTTCAAACCCCACGTGACACCTTGCCCTATACGAACTGCAACAAAGCTTTTTGTTTAAACTGAAGTCTTAACCGAAGCCTTGTACCTCAAGTTCCCTCCATCCCCTCCATCCAATACTTCTCCCCGTTATAAGACTTGGTTTAAAAAAATATCTGAAGTTAGCCTTATGAACAAGAAGAGAGTCAGACTTTCAGAAATCATACAACTCAGCACTCATATGTAAACAAGCATTGCTTACATTTTAGGACAAAACCAAGTTATGTTTAATGAAAGCACAATGTAACATTTAAATCCCCTTAGTGGAGGTAGAAAGCCAGTGTTTTTATCTAATCCATTCAGATCTGAAATACCAATACCAGATATTGATTTATTGCTATTAGTGATAACCAAATTTGAGAGCTTATAATGTCAGCAAGGTAGCGTGAGTACAGTTGTGATCTCCAATATTCAGAGTAAAACATGTCCACATCTGTAGTAAGACAATAGCAGATTCTACCAAGAATCTACCACTTCTTGTAAACATCGTATTTGTGCAGATTTTTTTTTTCATACTTTAATTTCTAAAGTCATGAAAGGCAAGGTTAGTAGCAGAAAACACATCCAGTTTCACATTCGGCAATATGAGAACCCTGCTCTTCAAGGACAACCAAAAACCTAGCAGCACATTTTCAAACAATATTACAAGTTTTTCTGAATTACCCACCCTTCAAAATCCCTTCCCCCCTAAAACCAAACAACAACAACAACAACAAAAATCTGACACCAAAAATAAAGTGCAGTACCCAGAAAAATAAGTGTCAAGAAAATAGCCATGTTTGTTTCTTTGGGGGGGGGGGGGAGAAAAAAAAAAAAAAAAAAAAAAAACTTGGCCTCAGTCTTAAGAATACTATACTGTGTCCATCATTTTGGATTCTTCTTCATCTCTTTGTATCACAGAGTTTAAACTGCAGACATCTGTGTTTATGGAACCTTGTAGATCACCTGTGTTCTGCAACACATGAAAAATTGACAGCTTAATTCTCCATAACTGTGTATATGGAGGGGGAGAGAGAAAGAGGAACAGAGAGATTTTAGCTTAAGTTGGACTCTGTGTTGTCCATCTTAAAATGAGACAAATTTGCAATAAGCTCTGAAAAATTCATCAACCAATATTATCTCACTGTGTCAAGAATTCTTTAAGTTTGCTGGCATAGCTTGTACTTGGTCCCAATATTTCTAGCACTTGACTGCACATTTACTTAAAATTCAGCTGTTGGATCTTACTTGAGAGGTACTTCAATCACATTATTTCAAATAAGTAGTTTCAATTGTGACTCCTTCCATAATACCTTATTTTTGACAATCTTTTAAGCTGCTGCTTCATTCCAGAATGTGGCCATCACTAGTACTATAAGAAAAGACCTAAGTACCATCAGTTTCCTTTTATCACAAGAGGAGACTTTCCTTAGGCTTGACTTACCTGAATGATCCCATGAATAGGATTAGTCATTTGACACTGAAAGCTCATTTCACTGCTTGTGGTAAAGACTGTGAATACAATTCTAGCATCTGATGAGTTTTATGATGCAGTGTTTATTTTAAGCATGAAATGTAATGGCACTGAACTAACATAGGCTTTTGACTTCATGCTGATGCTTTCTGAATTCCAGCAAGTAAAAAGAAAGCCAATATATGCCTTGCCTATCAATAATACTGCACATTATCTCTTGAGCGCTAGCAGTTCCAGGAATAAGCCTCTTTATATTTCAGAAAGGTACAGCTTCTCAAGGCAGGACCTAATCCTACTTTAGTTAAATTAATTTCTAGAAATAATAAACGTACCTGTGAAAAAGATGTCAGCTCTCCTATGAGACCAGGATTGACACTGAGATCATGCAGTAACATAGTTTGAAAGCCATGTGATTGTGACCAGATTCTCACTCTTGTCTTGAATGCCTCAAGTTCATTTTTAAAAGCCTCAAAATAGCCTTCTCCTGCCTGCAAAGAGAAAAATGAAATATTTGCACTTCAGCCAGATTTACTTTTGAGTTGCAAGCATACACAGTGCTGAAAAAAAAAACATGCAGTAATGCATGTTATACCCTTTGGGGAATAACAACTGTGAACAACTCAAGAATAATATTAGTCAATTTAAAATGAAATTTCAGGTAGATTTCTCTTAAGACAATCTCTAGTATTTATACATGAAGCAAAGTAATTGATTTATCTAAGGACATGTAAAAATAAATCTAATTTTAGCCTTTCCTTTATTCCAACTCAGAAGCCAGTACCCTTAGAAGAACAGGTGCTTGTTGTAGCACTCTGGTCAAAAGTAAAGCACAAGTTGACTCGCACTTTAACTGAACTCCTTTAGGCAATACTGACATCCATCAAAGTCTTGAATAACTGAATGCGGTCTACAGCAAACCACAGTTTCAGTCTTCCCACATTTCTCCTGCATAGCTCTGGATTGCTCTATTTCAGTAATGTAGGAAAGGGACGCTATTTTGGGCCCCACTGTGAGCTGCAGATGAAATGGAAAGTTCTGACAATACATAGGTATGCTGTGAAAACACAGGTGTAATTAGCCAAAATAAGTCCTTAAACTGGTCTACGTTTGCTGCTGTTACTTAGTTTTCACTTGTCTATAACACCCCTGTTGTCCCCCTGCTGTATCTTGCTTTCCCTCTGGGATAAGCAAAATCCACTAAACTTTCCTTTTCAGGACTGGAATTACACTAAAATATTCTGTCTAGAAAAGAACTGCTAACAAAACATTTTGGCATAAGCCTAAGTCAGTCAATAAAGTATTTAGCCTCTTATGGTTAGGAAGAAACCTTCTCTAAAACACTGGTCCCCGGTACAGCATCAAGAGTTTCTCCCATCGTTACCCAAGTTGACTTACTTTGGCTTTTTGGAAAAAGAGACGAAAACAGCCTCTTGGATCCACATTGCAGCTTCTGGCAATTTCTATAATAAACTGCATTACAACTGCTTGGTGTGCTACTTGCTCCATCAGAGCTCTTTTCTGAAAAAAAGTTAAAGTTATGATTTAAAGATATTTCCTGTGATTATATTTCTAAAATTCAGCATAATTTCCTTTTGTTCCAGTTCCTAAACAGATGAGAACTGATGCTCACAGAAGCAAGGGGACTGATAATTAGCTATAACTAGACATATATGTGACAATGCACTACAGAGTTTATCTTCAGTAAAGTAGAGAGAGGGTGGGAAGAACAGTTAAACAGCTAATCAAGTTGGTCAGCGTTTCTATAGTGCAAGTGGGAAACTGTACGCTTTCAAACAATTTAAACATCTTCTTTGTACCTGTTCAGCTTCTAGGTGAAAACACCACAACATGAGATATCTGGATGTTTCTTCACATACAAGATATGGGTGATCAGACAAAAATCTTTGACTATCATCCCATCGGCTCAGCATACCTAATAAGAGAAACATAGTTATTTCTACCTATAAGAGAAACATAGTTACGATATTCTAAATGGATAAATGACTTAATGCAGCAAGGAAGTTACTTGAATTGATACCCCAGTACATGCAACACCTTGGCAATTCACTAACCTCTGAATGACAGCATGCAGCTAAATTTGGGGGGTTTATTTACACATCGAACCAATGCTGAAAGAGCATTACCAGAAGGTATAATCAGACTTTGTAGATACTGAAAGTAGATTTTAACAGTCACAACTTCCTATATTTTAATGTGTCTCTAGCATCATTGAGAAGTTATTTTTCATCAGTTCTCGTACACACTAACAAAGTGGTGTAGGTATCTGTTAGTTACATCATCAAATACTTTAAAACTAGTTTATGGATAGAGATTTACATTCAGTGATTCTGACAAACACAAATCCTCTACATGTTTGCAAATAAGAATGCAAAGAAAAGAATGTGTAATCTGTCAAAAATGAAAGTGCTTCTAACAGATGATTTTCTAGGTTTTTAGGGAATTTGAATTTAATTACAGGAACAGCTTGGCCTCAAAAAGCAAAGCTACATCAGCATTGGAAAAGTAACTAGGAGATTGAATTGTGATAGCATGAAGCTACCTTCATATACAGAGCTGAGTTTAAAAATAGGAACTCAATACTCAGACCACTTCTTAAAAATTGTCCTTCGTGTATCACTGACAGCCATTACTGGCAACAAGTACCAGATGTACAGCTTTACCTGTCTATCAGCATATACTAATAATTGGGCTAAAGATAATTCAGTGGTAACAACCTAAGCTAATCTTAATTCTAGCAAACAAATGCCTGAAGAGAAAGCAATGGCTAATATTTCTTTTGGCTGTTTTCAAGAGAGCTATTCCACCTAAGTTCTTTATTGCCTGGAAGCCAGAGCAGGATCCAGAAACAGGACTCATGCAATATGGCTAGCAAAGTGCACACTGCCCCTTGGCAGAGAACAAGAGATTTGAAAGAGCATTAATGTACTGTCCCTTTTTACAATGGACTTAATGTTATTTTGAATTAAAATAACACCACAGCTTTGAATTTAGAAGGTAAGAAAAAAAATTGATGACCTTCTGTAATAAGGTTGTTTCTGTAACAGCTTAATCTGAATTTAGACAACAAAGTAATTTTGCCCAACTCGTACCTGGGAAGTCTGCAAGAAAGCCTCTTTTTTTTCTGCTGAAATGCACAGCAGGGGAGACGTCTTCTGATTCCGCTATCATTACACTTAGCAATGAAGGTATTTGAGAGAACCTGTGCCTATCACTGCTATTTGCATTCTCTGACAGTGTTGTGCCTCAACTTGGCACTTGCAAGGCTTGCTAAGGCTCACAGGGCTAGAAACCCTTCCTTTAAAACAGTTTAAGATCCCTAGAAGCCAAATAGCTTAGTAAAAATGAGTTGGTACAAAGAATTTAATTTTGCCAACTCGGTCCTGTTCTTGATTGTTCTGGAATTCCAAATATGGCCATACTATACCATAATCTGAAACCAGCCTGTAACTAAGAACAGAAAGCACTTCAGAGAAACATCAACATTTCAGATTACTTTAGAAGATCAGCTTTGTGCTTAATTGGGTTTGACAATTACGACAGAGCTAAAGTGACACCTAGTGGACAAATAAATGTAATTTTAAGAAACCCACAATTCCATGCACACATACTCTCAGTAGGCATTTACAGACATTTCCCTTTCATCAGTCATCACCCTTGTAGCTTAAGAGCCACCAGAAAAACATTTATTGAAAGGAGACAGCTATGGACAATCCCACGCACTTTTATACACACAACTTATATTTCCATGAATGTCCCTGCCTTTTCCCTCTAAGCAGCAGAAAAAGTTGCTAGAACTTTAGTTTTCAGGGTTTAAGCTCATTTGAGTTTTTTTTTTTTAATTTAAGTTCTTATTGATCACAGGAACTACCAAGCTTCTACAATTTACACCTTATTTTGTTTTGAAATTTTCACCTGTCCTGATACAATAAAACTGAACAGTCCGTTAGCCAGATCTTTCATTTGTTAGCATTCATTCTGTACAATAAGGAGCAAACCTACACAAATCCTGCAGAAGTTTGAACTGCAAAATGTTGGAATAAGCACACTCACCAAAGTGTCTAATCTTTTGTTCATGTTTTTGCATAAGTGGTTCAGACACATCTTCATCTTCTCTTTCTTTTCTTTTTTGATTAATAAAACTCTGAGGAAGAGAAAAATGGTACTATCGCAGAAACTCCAGACATACCATTTTGTGATATACAGAAGTATTATATTTTAATTTGTTACTATTTAAAGGGCTATGTTCTAATTATAGATTCCTGTCATATACTTGAGAAGGTTTTCTTTAAAAAAGTGCATTACCTAATAATAGAGTTTAAAAGTCTCATCATAGTCTACTGACCAAAGAACTCTGAGAAACTTCTGTCCTCAGGTAGGAACTTACTGATCTGTCAACAATGAGAACCATGTACATTGCAGCCTGGATGCAGCTAAATGAGTGAAATTAGAAGATCCACTAGCTGTTCAAATTAAATTGTGAAATCAAAGCTGAGATTCCACTATAAAAAAAAGTTTGTGCTAAATAATCTCCATTACAGTAGTCATTATTACAGGCAAACGAGCAGTATCACATTTTAAGAATTTGGCACAGCAGAGAAGCACGCTCTTCATGTGAAGAAACCATTGTTCAGTGCATCTGGCAACACTTGCACTACATGGAATCATAGAGTGGTTTGGGCTGGGACCTTTAAAGATCATGTAGTTCCACCCCTCCCTGCAGTGAGCAAGGACGTCTTTCACTACATCAGGTTGCTCAAAGCCCCCTCCAACATGACCTTGAATGTTTCCAGGGATGGGGCATCCGCAACTTCTCTGGGCAACCTGCTCCAATGTCTCACCATCCTCACCATAAAAAATGTCTTCCTTACAGCCAATCTAAACCTACCTTCTTTCAGTTTAAAACCATTGCCCCTTGTCCTATGACTACAGGCTGTGATAAAGAAATAACTCTCCATCTTTCTTAGAAGCCCGCTCTAAGTACTGAAAGGTCACAATAAGGTCTCCCCGGAGCCTTCTCTTCTCCTGGGTGAACAACCCCAACTCTCTCAGCCTGTCCTCACAGGAGAGGTGCTCCAGCCCTCTGATCATTTTTGTGGCTCTCCTCCGGACCTGCTCTAACAGGTCCATGTCTTTCTTGTACTGGGGACCCCAGAGCTGGACGCAGGACTCCAGGTGGGGTCTCACCAGAGCAGAGGGGCAGAATCCCCTCCCTCAACCTGCTGGCTGTGCTGCTTTTTATGCAGCCGCAGATACGGTTGGCTTTCTGTGCTATGAGTGCACGGTCCTGGCTCATATCTAATACCTAGATGACCCATGCAAGTTCTGATCCGCACTTCTGGTAGAGAAATATCATCCAGATTTGTAGTATGAGTGCAGCTTTCTCCCTTTCATGAGGCAAAGTAAGAAAAAAAAAAAATTAACACATACTGTGGTTTTGCGTGATACTGGACACAGAAGACACTCAAGACTAGTAACAAGTGGAATGAAAAAAAGAAGCTAGCACTTACTTTCGTGCACACTGATATGGGTCATACCTTATTAAACACCTCCTTACTAACAGGATCTGTGTTCCATAGATTCTGTCGTTCCCTCTGGTTTAGTGCTTCTTCTTTTCTTCTCCACTCTTCCTCTCTCCATCTCAACTCTGCAGCTTCAGTCTTTGCTTGAGCAGATTCCTGATCACGGGATTCTGAGTTATGCAGTGCTAAGCTACCAAGTTTTTGCTGGGCTTCTGCTAGGTTCCACGTGCATTCTACAGAGTGCTTCACGAACTCTCTTTCTTTTTGGCAGGCTAATTCAATCCCTTGGCTGTATGTCTGTGAGGAAAATCAGACATGCTATTTATGGAGGGAAAATGGACAGTTTACAGTTTGTATAGGAGCAGGCAGGCCTAAATCCCAAAGATAATGCACCTGGAAGGCACCTTAGATATGCAGCATTATATTCGCAGGAGTGATGAAGCATAGTATCGTACAGCTAGATGTTTTTTAGGAAGAGATTTCTAATTCAAGCTGCCTTAACTTTGTTAAGTGCATTTACAAAATCATGGATCATGTACTGCTATCAGTAATAGTCTCCAGACTGTAAAAATACTTTTGACACAGCTGAAACCCCTCTGGCCATCTTTGGGCTGCAATGCTAGCAACAGCCAAGTGTGACAATACTCTGAATATATATGCTTCTGAGAAGAAAGTATTACTTTTGTGATGTCAGATCACAACAGTAAAGTAACTGCTGCTGCCTGCATTCCAACATGGATTAGTACCTAACAGGTGGCCAACATCTTCCCTTGAACTGACAGTGAAAGTGGAATTTAAGTTATGAAGTGGCTGAGGCCCAGCACAAGCATATGCTCCTTTTGGTCACATCTATTGAGGAGGTCACCACTCATAGCTGGGAGAAAAAAGTGACCTCTTAAGCAACAGTGCTCATATTACTTCCAGGTGTGTGCTGGGAATTCACACTCAGTAACTTAAGAAATTATCCTCTAAAGCATATGCCATGCATTCCCACCAAGAGTGGAGAAAAAACATTCATATGCATTAGCTCCTCAGGCTTCCAGTGCCTTATTATGAAATTTGTGGCGCTGACAACCTCTAGCAGAGGGACATGAAGGACAACACAAGCTGTGAAAGATGATTTGAAGGAAACTTTAATGCAGGTGCATCAAAGTCCTTGTGCCAACTTTGTCTGGGAATTACAGCATTTATTTTTTTTTTTTTTTTTATAACAAGATGAAAATTTCACTGTTTGGAAAACTAATGTAATGGCAGCTTCTTGCAAGGGCACAAAGAATTCCCGACAACGTATTTAGAAAACACCGACTCGCCCTAGCCAACAGAAACACAGCGCTTCGATATCTGCTTTTTAGACGTAAGGATGCCGGGATAACTTCAACCCGGCTCCTTCCACATCAGTTGTCAAACAGGGAACTGTTACACTCAGGGGTGGCGGCAGGCGCCAGACCCACCCCGCGGCAGCAGCGCATCCGCCCCTCCTGGCGTGCTCCAGGGCGGCGGAGCGGCCCCGGAGGGGAGCGGGCACTTCCGCGCACCCCCGCC